CGGGCGTTGTGCTATTGTAACAGAATCCATACTCATGACCTTTCTAAATCTAATCATCTTCTGAACACCTTGACCCTAATACCATCCATCTGGTGATTCAGGCTATAATAGATTGTGCTAGTTAGTTTTTGTCAACTTGACACAAGCTAGAGTCACCTGGGAAGAGGAAATCTCCATAGAGAAATTTCCTCCATTATTCTGGCCTGTGGGAATGCAACTGGGTATTTTCCTGGTTGCTAATTTATGTAGGAGGACTAAGGGTGAAACCATCCCTAGGCAGGGGGCTGTATAACAAAAGCAGTTGGGCAAACTATGGGGGAAGCAAGCCAGTAGCAGCATTCCTCTGTAGTTTCTGCTTCAGTTCCTGCCTCCAAGCGCCTGCCTTGGCTTCCCCAAATGGCAAATTGTGAGCTATCAGCCAAAGAAGCCCTTTCCTTCCCCAGTTTGGTTTTGGTCAGTGTTTTATCACAGCAACATAGAATCAAACTGGGATGCATATGAATCCTAGAGGAACACAAAAATGTGACCTTCACACTTAGCTTCCAAGAGCGCTGGTATTTATTTCCTAAACTCTGTAAGACCATCATTCGGTTTCTGGTACCCTTCTTCCTGTAACATTGTTAAACATCTGTGTCACAAACCAGGACAAAAATACTTTGTTTCTCTTCTACAAGGCTCATACTCCTGTGTTACCTATTTCCTGTATCTGGAAACTGCTTATTGGTATTTTCTATATACAGTAGCCAAGTAATTGCAGTCCCACTTTTTTCATAGTGACCAAGAGTGAAAGAACCCACACTCTACTAAAATTTAGAAAACAGTATAATTTATATATTAGATTTCATGTTCAAAGGTCAATAATAGTGAGATGATATTTTAGATATAAATTGAAATATGTTCTCAACACAGTAATATGCTTACTTTCTCTAAGCAATATTCATAAGCACTGAAGCACTTTTGAACAACATTACACTAAAAATCGACAAAAGGCAAAACTTTGGCTTAATTGTCTTTGCTTGTTGATGTCAAATTAGAAAAAAATCGGGATATTTTTTGGATTTTTTCCTGACTTTTAGTAGATCCACTTCATCCAATCCCACCTAAAACTTGAGGGAGAGTCTTTTCTAACCATATTGACAACATTATTAAAATATTATGTAGATTCCCATTACTTCAAAACTAGCAAATAACTAATATTTTAGGCTACATTGACAATTTGATCCAGTGCTTATACAACCATAAAATTTTTGTTTATAACACACACTTTAAATCAGGTGATGATCAAAGTTAAGCACTCACAAATTGGGAACTTTTCAATAAATAACATTATATTAGTGACTGCCATGGTCATTTTGACAATATATGCCATTACATTAAGGGTAGATGTGTATTGACCAGCTTTCTATTGCTGTGACAAAATATCTGAGAGAATCAACTTGGAAAATAAAACGTTATTTCATCTCACTGCTTTGAAGGCTGCAGTCCATAGGTGACAGGCTATTACATAGGACTATCGTCCAGCAAACAGACCAGAAACAGATGCCATCTTCCCAAGCCTGGTTGCACCCACTTGCCTAGAATCATCACAGCTATTCTTGTTGACTGCCACATTACACAAGGAAAGAGGAACAGGGAGAGTCACAGGACCCCCCCAACCAGTCAGTCAGTCCTCATTGCTTGAGGAAGAGGGACTTAAGGGTATATGAGCTGAGGAAACTTGGGGAAGTGCTCTCACCATTTTGTGCATTCTTAGAGAAGCCACTACCCATGTTTGGATGAAAACTTTTCAGCGTGGCCTTAGCTGGCTGAAAGCACCCACATTCCTGTAAGTACACTCTCACCCATTATTCTGTAAGTAAGCCCAATAAACTCACTGGTTTCCTAGACTGCAGTTTGGAGAACCTGTACTTTATTTTGTCATTGGGACCAAGGGAGCAAGGGACAGACATCGTTTGCATCTCCCAAAAGGAATTTTAGCTACACTTGTCTGTGGCACTGTGGAACATCTTAGCAGTGTACCTCATGACAGTCAGGAATCCAAGTAAAAGAAAGAGGAATGAGAGGGGTCCCATCATCTCCTTCAAAGGGATACTTCCAATGACCTAACTCCCCACTAGGCCACTTTCATTTTCTACCTCCTCTAGAGAGTTTAACAGGCTAAGATATAAGATTGCAGTGCATAAGCCCTTGATGAATATCATTCAAACTATAGCAGAAGGAATTTGTGTACCAATTCTTCATTATTTCCTTATGTAGATATTAAAATATGTATGAATCTAGTGGAGAAAAGAGTGTATAAAGACCTCATAACTCTTAAAAACTTATTTGCAATATTCAAACCCTTAAAGAGTAAATCATAAAGAATATTTTTATTAGTTAAGGCTCTTTAGAATTATTTTGAGGCTACCTACACCTTCATTTGTGTCATATACAACAGCAGGTGGCTAGTTTGTGATTGTTTTAATCATTCTTATTAAAGAAGTAGAAGGACTGAGCCTCATCTCAGTGGATCTCATGAGTAACACTTCTGATGTACTGTGACATAAGAAAAAATAAATTCTGAATTGTGAAGGCAGTGTTTGGATGGAATGAACTTCATGTGGCTTCTCTTCATTTATAGAGTTTAATACTATAATTTTTTCTAGCAAATAATTTTGAGGGATAATGATAGTAACAGTAATAAATAACCTTGTCAGCTTAGACTCATTTTTTGTTCTTGATTCCCATGTTCAGTATGAGGAAATTTAGATGTATTTGAGATCACTTTAAAAAATCTTTTTTTAATTTTTAAATTTTATGTGTATGAGTGTATTGCCTGCCTGTATGTAAGTGCACCCTTATCATGCAATGCCAGTGGAGGTCAGAAGAAGGCATCAGATCTCCTGGAACTGGAGTTATGGATGGTTGTTAGCTGCCATGTGGGTTCAGATCCTCTGCAAGAGCAGCCAGTGCTCTTGACTCCTGAGTCATTCTCCAGGTCCAGCTTTAGGAAAATTTTACATCAATTTAAAAGGTATGCAAAATATAAAAGTGTGGTAAATTTCTTTTGAAACTGTGACATTGATAATGATGTATTAAAACAAAGAGCAGTCATTTCTTTTGTGGATAGTGATAGTTGATATTTTACTTCCAAAATGTTTGTTTTATTTTGGCTTATCAGCAGTTACTTATAAGTGAAGATAGAGCTGATCTTTTCTAAGCAAAATTTAATTTTTAGAAACTTTGGACTTTACACAAATGACCCTGAATCAGTCAATAGTGGTTTTGTTTGGGCCTAAGATTAAGATTTAAGATGCTGATTTAACTGGTTTCAAGCCTTTACATTTGTCAGGGGTGAAAAAACAAACACAATACATGGAATTTATCTCATTAAACTTCACATTTTTTTTTTTGGTCTTTTTGAAACAGGGTCTCACTGTAGCCCCCGCTGGCCTGAAACTTGCTATGTAGGCCAGCTTGGCCTTGAACTCACAGAGATCTGCCTGCCTCTGCTTCCCTAGTGCTGGGATTAAAGGTGTGTACCACCATGTCTGGATTTTTTTTAATTCACATATTTTTAATATTAACTCAATGTTCTTTTAGTATTATTCTCTTCCAATGAAGTCTCATTAATCAATTTATTCCCACAATTAATACAATTTGTTATTCTCTTCCAAAAGAAAAAAATTAAACAATAATGACTAAATTCAAACCAGAGTTGAGGTGGCATAAATGCCTTATTATTTCTGCTTATGAGGCTTATCTCTACAAAATTAAGCATAAATGGTGTGTCATTAAAACCATAAATCATTTGTAGTATTTTAGCAACTGGCTATCTCAAGGGAAAGATGTTGAAAAATGGAAAGGAATGTGAAGTCAGTAATTATTAGTCAACATAAGGTATAAGTTGTGCTCCAAATATTATAACTGAAGACTTTTTCTTCTCCCTTGTTTTTTAATTTTAAAGATGACTCCAATTTTCAATTTGTACAATAAATATATCATAAAAATATGATAATGTATAACTTAAGCTATGGAACAAGCCCTGAAACAAAGATTTAAAAGTTGAAACTTGCTTTATTGCTGCAGAGTTCTGTTTTCTCAATATTGGAGCTTGAGAAAAATTCAGGAAGCCTGTCATCACAGAAGTGCTGATCTTTACTTGTCTGCATGTTGGCAAAGGTCAAAGTGTCACTGTGTATTATAACTTGACCTCCCTTGTCTACATTTTCCTTCAACCTGTCTCTAACTGGAGAACCCAGTTCTTGAGGAAGATGATCAGTCCATAACCTCAGAACATCTCACCCCTTCCCTTCTGAATATCCTTGAGGTGGGGGGCACCTTGTGATGTTTCCTGAGGTGAAAATCAGGGAAATAGAAACTTGTTTCACGAATCCCAGTTTCCCAGACATCTAGACTCCCAGCTGCATCAACAAGGACAACAAAAAATATCCAAGCCATGCTTGACTCCCCGCTTTATTGATTCAGGGCAAACAAAGGCTGTCAAAACCAGTTATGGACTGAGACGAATATTTCATTTTAAATAACGCCTTTTCCAGTGTGGTGCTTACGTGTAGTTATCTCAACTGAAGGTAGTTGAGAACACAGGGTCCCGGTTGGATCTGACTACCACCTCAGGATGTGTAGGTATGTTGCTAGTGAAAAGCAAGGATCTGAGGGCTGGAGAGAGCAGTGGCCACATTCTGGAGGAAGTATGTCTCTAGCCAACTACTTCAGCTCCCCTAGGATAAGGCGACAAGTCAGGATAGGAGAGAATGGGTTCTCTCAATGAGCAGCTCCAGCCTGGGCTCACTGGGACAGAGGAGTCCTTCAGTGAGGGTCCCCAGGAATCCTAATGAATCAAAGGTTTGGCTTCTCTCTATTCCTGCGCATTCTCCCTTCCTCTGCTCTTTGCTCCCCCGTCCTGCAACACACAGAAGAAAGTTTTGCACAGAATGAGCCCGGTGTTGACGTAAGCATCCCCTTCCCTCCTGGCTGGATAGAAGCCCAGAAGGCAGCCAGTGGGGGAGATGCGGAGGTAGGGCTCCTTTGGATTCCTGTGGTTAGGGTCCCCGGGGCGGGGCGCATCAGGGGCCAACCAAGAGTGCTGGTCCTAAACCCACAAATCCACCAGGCTTTTCCCTCCTCCGTCAACCTCCTAAATCCCAATGAGGTCATAGCAATGAGAGAGAATCAGATCAAGAGAGGGGGAGGAAGAGGACGACGACGACGGAGAAAAAACTCAGACGGAAAGAGGCCATCAGACAAGGTCGCTTTTTCTGGCGACACAGCAAGTGTGATACTGAATATCATCCACCCGCTCCGCCTGGGGACCGAGGGACTCGCAGAAGCACTTTGCGCTGCCACGAAAACAAAGGAGATGAGACCAGAGGACAGGCCGTGAGGGTCTGGGAGCAGCCCCTTTAATCTCCGGAAAGCAAAGCTTAGGTCCTAGGCCAGGAAAGAGAGGGAGTCTGAAAGGTGCCAGAGGCCACCGAAGGAGCGGGCTTGGGGTGCACAGAGCCGGGACGCGGCAGAACTCTGGACAGCGCTTCGCTAGCAGGGCTTGGTCTCCCGCGACTCTTCTGGTTCGCTCCTTTCCAGAGCCGGTTCCCAGACTGCTCCCTCATGGACTCCCACTCCGAACCAGGAAGATCTGTCTCTGAGGCCCCTGTGTGAACGTGCCAGGGGTAGGAGCAGTTTTTTCGCCTCTGGCTGTGCCAAGGAGGATCTCCGGTTCTGGAAATCCAGATCTTGTGGATAATGTCTTTCCGGTGAAGAAAGAAAAGTTTGGGGATCTGGAATTTGGTAGGGGGCGGTAGGGGTAAGGACTGTGGAAGACAGAAGGTGGATGGTCGGCTTCCCTCTCTGAGCTGGAAGGAATGATGACCCAGGGAGGATGTGCACCAGCGGCCAGATCATTGGGAGCCTCTTGGTGCTCTCTGTATTGGAGATAGGGCTGGGGGTGTCCAGCGTGGCCGTGGGGGCGGTCAGTTTCAGCCTGGCCCTCCGAGAGCACACGCCGCAGCTCGGAGACTCGTCCCCGGTATGGAGCGGGGTGTGTGTACGTTGAGCCATTTCACTCTCTCTTTACCTCTTTTCGGGGATGCTCAGTGTGCTTGGCTTAGTAACTCCTTCCAGGGGATTGAAAAACCATAAATCTCCTCTGGCTTCCCTATAGTTCGCATAGAAAAGCTGTGCCAATTTATGCTGTTCTTTTATGTGTTAGGATCTCTCTTTTTTCTCTCTCTCCCTACTTCCTGGGCTTGAGACCAAATTGAATGGTTTGTTTAAACTGGGGGCTGGGGAGGGGATGCTGGGGGGATTGTCAAACTCCACTGGCTGATTCCGCAAAAGACTGACCAGTGTTGATGACTACAGGGTCACATCTGCCAAGGGCAAACTCACTTAGTTGTTTCTGTCCTTTACTGAATCGTTGCATCATTTTCCTGTACCAGGAGCAAGCAAGGATAGTTATGCATTTATCTGTGGGCAGTAGTGCTCAAGGTGCACTGATGCAACAGTGATAGGGCAGAATGCAAAAGTGAGTGTGTGAAAGGCTGGAGGAGATGAACATCATCCCCAAACAAATTGCTCTGAATTTACCTTAATAGCTTTCTGGTACTTCACCTCTGAATATTCTTTTGTAAGTTCTAGGATATCAGTTAAAGAGCCGGCGATAAGATGTGTAATGATATTCTAAGAGTAGCTACCTGCTCAGAGAAAAATGTCATGATTTTTCTTTAGGTCAGAGACAGACACAAGCATATTGTTTAGTTACATAGTGTGAATCTTGAGGAAAGTCTTACAGACCCTTTGCTTCTACCAAGAACCAATAAAATAAGCACTATTCCTTGTGAAAATCTGATTGTGGAAAAATAGCTCTCTCTCGCTCTCTCTCTCTCTCTCTCTGCAGCCATGTCCATGTGGTTCTCTGGCTTGATAATATTTTCTGCATAATTTATTGTGTGGCTATCACTGACAGTACATATTGTATTTAGCAATTATACTTTCATTACTTGAACTCTAGGTTACTAAGGGAAAATGACCATTTAGGAATTCAAGAAAAATCATTTCAAAGTTATTAATTTTGGAGAGATGTTCTGGAACTTTTAATATTGGCAAAATTATGCCTTAGATAATTAGCTTTTATGTTTTTTTTAGGTGATAAACATGTTTATAAACCACAGAACTTAAAGAGAAAAAGAATGCCAGGTGTGGTGGGCTACCCTGTTAATCCTAGTACTTGGAGGACAGAGGCAAGTGGATCTCTATGAGTTAGAGGTCAACCTGGTCCACATAGCAAGTTCCAAGCCAGCTGAGACCAGAGAGAGTGAGACAGAGAGAGAGACAGAGAGAGAGACAGAGACACAGAGACACACAGAGAGAGAGATCACATTTTCTGAATTCCACAATATGTTCCTATCAACCCCCTCAAAAACTATCTTGCTCTTTATTTTGTAATATATGTGTATGTGTGTGTACTAAGTTTAAATTTGAAAGGATTATAAGCACATCTTAAATAACAAAATTCCACATGTTATGTGTGCCTATATTTTGAGAGCTGTGGTTATTGCTACTACTAAGACTTCTCCTGGTCAACTGTCAAACACAGAGCAAGGCCAACATGCAAAAAGAGGGGAAGAAAAGTGATCTCTCAAGAGCTTAAGAAAGAAAAGCCTCAAATACTCTTCATGACACTCCCCACCCCTTAAATATAAGAAATTAGGTGAGTTAAAGCAAATTTTCTATAAATAATATTTAAAAATCATTTTATCTTTAAGAATTCCCAAGTAATTCTATTAGCTTAGAATTTGTAAAACAGTAATTTTTCGTCTCTTCTGAACTAAATTAATATCATATAGATGAGCCAATATATGTATACATACAAAAATGGAGCTCTTAAATCAGCTTAGGAAAAAGAAATCAGTCATATCGATAAGTCATTTCCATAAACTATCATTTCCACTCTAATTATTTACAGTAAGTACAACTCCTAGAACAATAGCTTTGAATACTATTATCTGGTTCTATAAAATCAAACAATGCAGTCAACTCAGTGAATGATTTGAGACTAAAGTTCAAGTAATTGCTCACTTTTATAAACCCAGACCAGCATAAAAATTAAATTTGGTAAGAAATAATTTCCTTATTGGGGTAATCATATTTTTCAAAGTATAAATTTTATAAGTAAATTATTAAAATGATGTCTATAATTCTTTTCTGATATATTTTGGACTTCATTACTTCTTTGCTCTGATAAATTTACATAACCAATACTTCTAAAAGGCTTAGCAACTGAAAGTGTTTTACTATTTACTAGAGCTGCTATAAAGGGTAATTCAGGAAACTATCTTCAAAGTGGCAATACCTACAATGGGACCATCACTAACTTTGTCCATGGTAGGAAGACAGAGTGTGATTTCAGATAGATAAAAAAGAAAGGGGGAAGAGAAAAGCTTGCATAGAGAGTGAAATATCCATGGAAGAAGTACTATTTACTATTGTTCTTGAAGCTTTGCTAGCATTGAAATCAATGTCCCACAGTGCTAATGTATCATAGGATGTGTTTAAATCAAACTGGTTGTAAATCTCAGACTTACCACTTCATAATTGGGTGACAAAAAAAGTTTCCTCATCCACAAAATGGGATGGCCACATGCCTCAATTAAATAATGCTTCTAGCAAAGTGCGTGAGTTATCATGATCCTTGAGTAAATGAAAGCCACTAGTATTGGGTGTCCAACATTGCAGAGGAAGAGTGTGAGAAGGGAGAGCCTTTTAGGCAACATGGATGAAGGCAAGGAACAGGGATAGAATGGGACATAAAGGCTCCTTTGTTTTTCTGAGGCTTAAGTGTGTAAGAGGAAGATAAGGACAGAAAGAATGACTGTGGCCAAATGTTGTATGCCAGATGAAGGCAATACATCTCCCATATTTCTAATCATCATCATAATGATATCAATTCATTGTCTCCACAGAGACCCCAGGAAGATACAGAGGGAAATTCAATAAATAATTATTACTCTCTCTGGAAATTTATGAATTGAAAATCTGTATTATTTATGAATACCAATGAGATCTTACAATAATTAAGCTGTCAGAGTACACAGTCTAAAAATCAGACTGTGTTTTGATTAGTATGTGAAGCTTTATTTCAAAACATTGATATCATCATTACGTATTTCTGAATTAAATTTACAGTCAATGGAAATAAAAACTGCACTCAGAGGAATTACTTTTACAGAAACTTTGAAATGATAATTTTTTTATCTAGGACAAGCACACAGAGGTTTTAGGAAGATAGTTTGATTATTTGGTTCCAAACATGCACATGTTTAATGAATTAAAGATAAAATAATATTGAGATAAAGGGCTTGGAGTGTATAACAGAGATGCTAATGCAGATGATTTTCTAACACTATTCACAATCCAAAAAGTCATATCACATGATCAGTCTTTAAAAGGACAATTAGTTGGGAAAATCCTTTATCATTTTATAGGGAAAGAAGGGTATACATGTCTACAGCTTATTTGTTCATGCTTGACAATTTGTTGTAGTTGATAGAATTACAATAAAACTACAAACTAAGAGTGCAAAGCTGTTGGGAGACAATGAATGAACCATTGAGTCTTTTAGAAAAGATAACTCATGTGAAGTATAATCAATATGAAGGACTAATCGACATGTAGTTAATAGGCAGGGTTGTGTTTCCAAGTTGCTGTGTAAATCATTTGTCTTGGCCTACAATGCATCATCTACAATGAGATAAACTGGGCTTAGTAGTACACAGACCACTGAACCACTGGGAACTTTGTTGTTGGTCTAGGTCTAGAGAGTCAGATGGTTGTATTTAGAGCAGTTTGATGGTGAATTATATTTGATTGACATCCTGCTATAATTTCTCTCAGCTATCTCTGATAGTCATTTTTTAAGCTTGTTAAATTTTCTAAACCTGGTTCTCTCACATGTAAACTGAAGGCAATTTCATAAAATATTTAAGACTTTCCTTAACTAAATCATTTAAAGTTTGAGTGATTTTTACTTATTTTTCTGGAGCATACTTGCTGGTTATACCATAACTTCATTGCTTAATAAATGAAATTAGTAGCACAATCAATATACACACCTGTTCTGTGTACTCTCAATTCACTATAGCAACTCAGTCAACTGTAGTTGAAATTCACCTCTGATTCAACAGTGAAATGCAGTATACAGATTATTATTGCTCCAAAATATTTCATATTTAATCTGTCAAATTCTTTTATCAAAAAAACCATTTTAACTCCTTAGTGACTCCAAATATGCATAATTTGAAATGAATCTGTCTCTGCTCAGATAATGTATCAGTTTTCTCCAGTGTCAAAATACATAAGGGATCCATATTCCTTATCAGAAGATGTAAATACTTTCTCTAGCCTCAGAAAAAAATAGAAATGTATATTTGTCTGTTGTGTTTTAGATTAATTTTAATTATATAAGTGAGCCATGTAAAGAATATTTTAAGATGATTTGGGGGGAATTTTTTGTTTTGTTTTGGTTTTTTATTTTTTTGATACAGGGTCTCCCTGTAGCCCCAGCTGACCTGGAACTCAGACCAGTCTGCCCTTGAACTCACAGCGATCCTCCTGCCTCTGCCTCTCAGGTGCTGGGATTAAAGGCATGCTCCATCATGCCCAGCTTAAGATGATATTTTAAAGAATACTGAAGTTTGCTTCCTTACCACCTCATCAACATTAGTCAGCATTATCTTATTAAAATCTCAGAAACATTTCTCCTTGCATGAATAGTTAGCTTTGAATAATATAGCTCAGTTGTGATCAAGTTTTTAGAGAAAATACTGTTCATGAATTCTGTTATATCCCAGGCAGTCTCCTATATGACTCACATCCTCATTCCCAAATGCTACTGAGTAGTGGTTTTAGGACTCAAAAATTTTAAGCAATGCTGAGAGACAGGGTGGTTATTATTCACATCATGTATCAAAAGAAACATAAGTATATATTACTTCTAATATTGATTGATAATGTATGGTGGGAGAAAATGGTCTTTTGGCCATTATA